ATTCTGCCCGATTCGGCCGACTCCTAATTGAGCCGAATTTTTTAAATTTTGCACACCCCTACTATGGAGTCCTGTGAACAAAAATTCTACTTTGTTAGCTAGTGGCATTAAAGTTGTGAACGGGTGACTTGGCTACTGCATAAATTAGTTTGGTCTGGGGCCATCCTTCCTGAGCGAAGATAAAAATGTGTGAGGCAGAGGCTAAAAAACTATGAACTAGCTCACACTAACTCAGAGGGAACAGTGCTCAGCGGTATCATGAAATGCAAGCCGTTGGCCTTTGGTAAGCAAGAAGGAGAGCTAGATTCCAGTGTAGTGACAGTTTAGAGACCAACTAGGTTTCCAGGTGTTAGCTTCCTGAAGTCAAACCTGCCTTCCCCAGATACCTTTGACTGGCAAAAATCCTGTTGGTATGCTTAATTCATATTTTTGTTCCATTGTGATTTTATTCATTATTTCCCTGTTTAATGTCTTCTAATGTAATAATGTCTTCTAATGTAATAAAAACTCTGCAAATACGGTAATTTTCAAACTGTATAATACCGACAAATTGTACGAAATGTATGAAGCCATTGAGAGCTGACTATGCTCATGCTTACCTTGTAAATCTTTGCTGTTTATAAAAATGAATAAAAATTATCTGTTAAAAAAAATCTTGTTGGTCTCCAGAAGTGTTCCCTCTAAGCTGAGTTAGTATGAGCTAGCTCACAGTTTTTTAGCCTCCGGCGCACAAGTTTTTGTTTTTGCCTTAGCTCAGGAAGGGTGGCTCCAGAGCAAACTAATGTATGCAGCAGCCAAATGGCTCACTTGCAACTTTAATGCCAGGAGCTCACAAAGTAGAATTTTTTGCTCACAAGACTCCACAGCTTAGAGGGAGCATTGCCTGTGAGGTAGGTGGGGCTGAGAGAGCTCTTTCAAGGACTGCTTGTGAGAGAAGAGCTCTGAAAGAACTTGTAACTGACCCAAGGTCACACCAGCAGCTGCATGTGGAGGAGTGGGGAAATCAAACCCAGTTCTCCCAGATCAGCTCACACAGTAGAATTTTTGCTCACAGGACTCCACATCTTAGAGGGAGCACTGGTCTCCAGTGTGCTACTGGACTTGAATCTACCTCTAGAACCAAGCTGGGTTTCAATCCCTCACACTCAGATATCTAACGAAGGGAGCTCATTGTGGGTCTCTCAGTTGCTCCTGGACTGGGATCGAGCTCTTCTGCAGACCAACCAGGCTGCCCACCTGTAGCGGAGCTAGAAGGAATTCACTTTACCACATTCAAGATGGCGTCAACAAAGAGGCCAAGGTTGGTGGTGATGGCCCCAGCCCAGCTGCAAACTGGCCTCACGCCCTCATGTTCGTTGTTCAGAAGACGTCGGGTCAGATAATGTAGATTCTGGGTCGATGCTTGACTGTAGCTGACGAGCAAACAAACTCATGCAATTAGTCTTGACAGAAATGTGAAGAAAATCTGTTCACCCTTCCTTGGATGTTGTGGTCCTTCTTCCTAGACGGGCTGGCTGGATAAGACGGGAATACAAAGCGTTACACCTACGTGACCGAAACCAAGAGGACACCATTCTGTCTCTTGACCTATTGCCATAAAAATGTTTCCTTCCCCCAGTGGCTGAGAGGCTCAGTCTTGCTTGAGAGCCAGTTTGGTGTGGTGGTTAAGTGCGCGGACTCTCTTCTGGGAGAACAGGGTTTGATTCCCCACTCCTCCACTTGCACCTGGCTGGATGACCTTGGGCAAGCCATAGTTCTGTCAGAGCTGTTCTTGAAAAAAAGCACTTTCTGCCAGAGCTCTCTCAGCCCCACCTACCTCACAGGGTGCCTGTTGTGGGGAGGGGAAGGGAGAGGAGTTTGTAAGCCGCTCTGAGACTCCTTTGGGTAGTGAAGGGCGGAGTATAAATCCAATGTCA